TTTTTTTTTTTTTTTTTTGAGACAAGGTTTCTCTGTAGCTTTGGAGCCTGTCCTGGAACTAGCTCTTGTAGACCAGGCTGACCTTGAACTCACAGAGATCTGTCTGCCTCTGTCTCCCATGTGCTGGGAGTAAAGGCATGCGCCACCATCACCTGGCCGGGATAAGGAAAACCCATGCATAGGCAAATGGCCTCAAATCAACACTAAATAGCAAATGGCTTACAAAGAACATATAAGTGTTTTTCCGTTGGTTAGGGACATTCCCTGGAGAAAACAATTTAGCTACTAAGGAGATGTGTGTGTGTGTCCTAATGTTTCTATGGTACTTGAGTTTCTGGTCTCTTTTATAAAGCAAGGTAATATTTGATGAGTGGCTGAGCTCAGGTACCTAACATTTGTGATGTCCCCAAACATAAAGATGCGGTTCAGATCATCTCCTCGCAAAGGGTCAGGTCTCCTTGGGAGGGAAGGAGCAAAGTAGGGCATCTAGTCAAGCCTCCTCAAGCCAGCTACAAGCTTTTGCAGTGGTACCACAAACGGTCTGCATTTCTTATTAGTTGATGTGCTTTGTCCATGGAAGAAAGCATTACCACATTTACTAAGTGAGAGACACCTAGATCCTCCCTTCTTTTATCCCCTCATTCCCACCCTCTACCCACACAGCATCTGTAGTCTTTAAACTAGAAGCGGGAATTATCGTAAAAAGCTAACTGAGATTACAAAGAAATGCTTGTGTAGAAAACGTTCTTGGTTTCCAGGGGGAAAATCAGCTCTGAGTGATTCTTCAGCAGCATGGAAGGAGTCCGCTGCAAAGGACTCATGGCACCCTTGGGAGTGACCCCTTCCGCCACCAGCTCTCCCCCGCTGCAAAGGCTTGACAATGGGCCAGAGTAAACAACTTCAGGACTCAGGACGAATTGAGTTAAGACATAAAGTACACACTTAGAACTCGCTCTCTTCCCCAGTTTCTGGCTTCGGTCTCCAGGCAGTCAGCTTAAAAAGAAAAACAAGATTTGCTTTAGGGCTTATTGAAATATGTCCATCCCACAAGCCCTCCACCTTCCTGCCACTGAACAGCCACTGGAAACCACCGTCCTGCAATGGCCTCACAGGCTCATACCAGAGTCCACGATTCCAGCGCTAGCTCTATCTCCGTTGACATGTACTGTCAGGTTTAATAAGATAGCCAGGAAAGCCAGGGTTGGCCCAGGAACAAATGAAGTGGTTTCCTCCCTCCTGGAGTGGAGCATTGAGCCTCAATTTGGTATTCAGACATACCACCAAGGGGTGAGCCGCTTTCATTGGTAGTTATTTTAAGACAAGAATTGGGGTTCAGCCACCTAGCTCCATACTCCACTCTTCCCCCGACCTAGTTGCCAGATTCTCTAGACTCGTCACGGCCCCTGGGTATAGCTACTTCCACTGAGGAGCTTCTTGGACATGACTTTGTAGCTTCCCTTTATGGTGTCCTCACTGAAGGGAACACCTGAGGTGTCTCCTTGCATCTGGCCTGTAACTGGTCTTTAGGGAAAGGAAATTCAGCAGTTTCTTACCAATAGATAATGTCGGCCTCATTCGAGGATGTGGGGAGGACATTTAAGAACACATGATGAAGAAATTTGCAAAAGCAATCTGTAAGTAAGACAGAAGCATACCAGTTGAAGACAGGATTCATTTGGAAGGCAGGCATGAAATACCCTTTGTGATTCCCCGGGACAAGTCTGTAAGTACTCATGCGCACAATAGTTAATAATGAAGAGATAGTATATTCCAAAGTTAATGAAGCAATGATTGTTGAAAATGAAGCATGTTCTTGTCTGATGATTTTTACAGGCTCCTAAGATGTGGTAGGACTCTAAAGCCCAAAGGAGACACAGCAAGGAAAATGCATCCCCACCTAATCTTTGGAACTGATTACCAAGCCTGCCCTCTTTCTTATCAGTGCCGAGGATGAAGGCCAGGGTCTTGCACGTTAAGCGCGTCCCTGCCACTGAGCTATAGACGCAGTCCTCACTTACTAATCTAAACTGGCCTCGAGGTTCTCATCCTCCTGCCTCAGCCATCTGATTAGCTAAAACTACAAGCCTGTGTCCCCAGTCCGTGTGACACATTACGTCCTTAAAGAAACAGGACAGACTGTGAAATAACAATGTTGCTCACCGAATCTGAGCAACTCCTCACACAGAGGAGCTACAACTACATGATGTCAGAGCATGCTGCTAGACACAAGCCTTGCAAAGGTCTTGGGCGGGGAAGCCACACACGTGGGGTTCCTAGGAGGCCTGGCAAGGAGGAGGCTCTACAGGAAGGCAATGGGGTAAGAACAGTGCTGAAAAACATTCTCTGAAAATATCTGCAGGACCAGAGGTTGGCATAAGAGGCACTTCCGCTGTGCCCAGGAAAATTAAAAGAGAACAGGTTTCAGATCAGTGTAAGGAATAACTGTGTCATAGTGATGGAGATACAAGACAGACTCATCCATTCCATTATTAGAAGACAGGATTACTAACTTTGCTTAGGGTAGCATGAAATCTAAGTCTACAATGATGTCCAGCACAGACCTCATGCACATCAACACACAGTTTTTTTCCTATCTGGATACCACTTTTCAGTACCTTATATCTTATGGTGGTTACTCTGTTTAGACAATGATGAAATAAGAAAATCTTAGTGCCAAGAAAACTCCTGATAACATGCCCTTAGAAAATCTGTCATTGCAACCAGGGTTTTCTCTGTCCTGTATAGGAATAGGGGTGTCTAACTATATACTTCTAGCTTCCTGTTAGGCCTTCTTTTAAAGCAGTCTGGTAAAATACAGCAAGAGTTCATGTCCGTCCTGAAGCCTGCTTTTGTAAGTGAAGTTTCCTTAGAACACACCCGATTATGCACCCATTTTATCATTGCTTGTGACTATTGTAATACTATTCCAGCAGAACTGAGGGATGGACAGAGGTTACCTAATCTGCAAAACTGCACTTTTGTGTAGCCTTTTCAGAGAAAGTATACAGGGTCCTATTCTAGAACTTCAAACGTAATGATTCAGGCTCCCTCCGGTAGACTTTGATGAGCACATTAGAAAGCCAGTCTCGGTTGGCAAAATCCCTCAAGTGCCCAGACACCTGAAACAAATCACTGCACCTAAGAACACATACTTTTAATTGATAACATTACTCATGGAAAAGTAACAGAACAGCCTAAAGGCAACAGAACAGCCAGCCCATTGCAATTACTTCCCTAGCCTAAGTTCAGAATGTTCTATGAGAACTTGTCTTGGGCATCGCATGAGAAAATGTATTAGTTGTTAATGATTTTTGAGTCAGGATTTTTTTTCTGGTGCATGAATCCTGAAAATGGGCTTTGGATTTCAGATCTATAAGCAGCTCAGGCCTCCTCCTCAGGAGAGCCGCCCTCACAGGTTTCCTCTACGCCCTGCTTCAGCCTCTTGCCCATTTAAGACTGAGACAAAGGCACATTAAACTTAACCAGGAGTGAGTTCAGTTGCTCACTTTCAGGCAAGAGCTGAATAAAAACATGTGCAAACACGGCCCACAAATCCTAATCAACTTGTTTTTGGTCGTGAGCCTAGAGCCTTTATATAATCAACGTAGAAAACCACCGCAAAGGGTCAGGAAAAGCCCTTCATTGAATGAAAACTCACAACAGGAGAAAACGTTCCCGGAAACAAGAGGGGACTCCTTGTGAAAGAATTTTGCAAGGCTCATAGCAGATTTGGCCTCCTAACTGCCAAGTGACCCAGCACAGTCCCCCTGGTCAGATTTGGACCCATTTACCTTACCTTCCTGCTGAGCCATGGTCACATCCCTGTGACTCGGGTGGGCAGTTAGTGACGGTCGGCATTGACCACACATCCCTCAGCGGCACGACCTCGTAGCTCTTGGACAGGCCACACACCAGCAGTGTGAGCAGCGGGGTGGAAAGGTCAGCCTCCTCCAAGAGTACTTGAACGGAAGGAAGCAATTCATGCTAGCGGGCCCCGATCCAGGTTTAATTCAGATTCAAGTCACAGTAGGATTTAGTCAGGGTTCTCCCTGCATCGCGTGCATTGCCAGCAACTCTCCCCCCCCCCCACCAAATCCTCCCAGAGTCATGAGAGGTTAGGACGTTGCCTAGGAAAAGGTGGAACCAGGACTTTAGTCCTGACGTGTCACTCCAAGTCTAGTGACCACTGACAAGTGCCGGTAAAAGCCTAGGTTAAAATCATTCTGTAGTCAAACATCTAGGGCCTTAGATCCCACACCCTCTTCTCTCTCATTTTGCTTTTTAAACATTTTTTTTGAGGTAGACACACCTTCCTATTTTGAGGAGCTCTGAGACCTGTCTTGTTTCTGAACTTGAGTACAGCAAGCTGTCCACTCGGCCAGCAATCTGTTTAGAGATTCTTTTCTTTCTCTTCAGAGCATCTCTGGTACAGTGGACAGCCCCAGCCCGAGAGGGACAGTGAGAAGCCAGACTTGTGGTGCATCTTGGATCTCAGCCACAGCTCTGTCTGTGTACATGATTTCCTCCTCAGCCTGTTTCTTCCCCCAGCCACTCTTAAAGCAGTTGGTTTCCTTCCACACCTCAGCATCACTGCCCTTAACCACCCGCCAAGGTCCCAATAACCCAGCAAGTGTCTGGTCCTCAGGAGAAGAAACCTCCCTTTCACATGTTGCCTCACAGAACCTTTCAAATCCTCAGAAGCCTTCCTTACTGACTCCTTTCCTGGCTATCTTGAGGTTCTGTAAAAGCAGCATTCTGGAAGATTCACCCAGAAAACTCAACTAGAGAGTGGCTATCGTGGAACAGCCAAAAGCTGCCAAGGTTAAGAGAGAGCAGATGTGAAGAGACTGCTTGTTTCAGAATAATAATTAAAAAAAAAAAATCACACCCACATACCAGTCTCCTGATGGTATCTTAGTGGTTGCTATTCTTTTTAGGATTTGGGTTGTCGTTTGGTTTTCTATTTATTTTCTGTGGTGAAGAAAATTATATGTTTGTTAGATTGTTTTTTGGTGTTCATTGTAGAATAACATTCATATGTGTTGCATATATGCATAGATATGTATATGTTTATTTATTTACAGAAATGGCCTTAAGACAAGAGTTCATTAAAATCTGATTTTTGAAAAATATGAGTAAGTAAAAATAGAAAAAATATGTAAAGAGTATCCTGTGGTGAGGACCAGATATGCACAGCTCTCAGAGCCCAGAATCTCTCTGCGGAGAACATTTGAACAAAACTAACTTCCAATTTTGTTTTCTAGATCAGAATTCTTTTATTTCCTTGCAAATTGAATACCTTGTCCAAGATTTTTCTTAAGACCTTATGGTTCACACAGATAGCTATAATCCAGAGAAGATAAGCTATGTCCCCAAGTTAGACTGTGGGCAATGAGCCAGAGGAGAGGAATGCAAAGAAAAAAAACATACAAATGGAAGCCCCCACCACCATTTTAGGGTGGGAAATTGTGGCCCTGGGTGTGGTAAGGTCACCGGACTCAACACTGGCACTTACAGCCCCTGTATCCCTTTAGTGTGACATGAAGCGCTGCATTTTCATCTGCTTCCCAGGGGATGTTGGGATATTCTTTTCTGGTAACCGGAGCTTGGTGATTTCTCCTCTTCCTGCCTCATTGTGTTCAGGCAGCATGGCTCTACCTTGTGGGAAGTTCTACAACTATTTCATATCTCATGTCATTTCCTAAAAGGATTATTGGACCCTTTGAGTTATTGTTTCTGATTCATCCTTGGCAGCTGTCTCTGTACTACTCTATTAAGCACGCTGTGGTTCAGCGAATGAATAAGAAACCGAAGAATGGACAACCTGGAGGTGTAGCTGCAGGCATCTGTAAACCTCCCCATGTGAGCGCAGGGAACCGAACTGGGGTCCTCTGGCATAGCAGCAATTGCAGCAAGTGCTCTTAACCACTGAGATCTCTGTCCACAATCTTATCACAACTCACAAATGCCCTGTGAAATAGGCAAAGCCGGTCCCCTGCTACCCAGTTAGGATGCTCAGTGGCCTTAACTGGCTGGAGATGATACGTGACGATGCTGGAGCAGTCTTGTTAATAGAAAGGTATTCGGTGATGTCATTGGAAACATAGTCTCTGTCCCTCATAAAACCGTCCTTCCTGTAACTCAGTGAATGACAGTATGAATGAACACAGGAAAGGACAACCTCTCGAGCCTGTAGGTAAACTTTGCTAATTGGCTCCAGCGTTGTTCCAGGCTGCCGCGCCCCCCCCCCCTGTCATAAAGCTTGCTGGCCATATATGGCATGCGCACGAATTCTAGAGGAATAGTTCCACCTGCAAGTGAACAGTCCAGTGGGAGAAACATTACTCAGCCTTCATCATCGAGGAGTGAGTCACCAGACCTGAGCAAGATACGGACGAGAATCTCTGTGAGCTGGGTGGGGACCGTGCTAAGGGGAAGAGGACCTGGAAGACCTGTCTCCCTTTGCTTTCGCATTGCCTTGCTGGGAATGACACGGATGGTGGAGGCATGCCATGTCCAGGAAGAGACACCACCCCCGGGTGGGAACGCTCAGCCCTCCTGACAGAAGCACTTAAGGAAGCGCAGGTGGACAACCTAGTGCACCAAGGTCATGGCAACATTGGGTAGGGAGGTCGAATTCCAGCCCACCACCAGCCTTTCATGTTTCCAAAATGCTTTCTGATGGCCAGTCGTCTCCTGCACAGATTAAGAGAGGTCACAGGTGACTGGGAGTTTGTATCAAAGAGCATCTTAAGATTCAGTAGAGAGCTATTTCCCTTAAAGCCAAACTAGTCCGGTTTCAAAGTCAATTTTCACGCAATCATTTTTAGCTGCAGTCTATGGAGATTCCGTGTTTTTCCACTTTGCCCACACTGGTCCTTATCAGAGCTAGTGCTCTGAGCTATTCGTTTATGCCCCCTTAGCATATACACACCCAAACTCTCCATCCCTGCGCGTGTCCTAGCTTCCCCTGGCAGGAAGAAACCAAAGCAGGGAGCCTGGCTGGAGATGATACGTGTTTCTAGACTTCCCCTGAGGTCTCCCGTTCAAGGATCCCTCCGATTTCGGCCATGTGAGAGAGTCACGGCAGCGCTAGCTGCTTGATTGAGCTCTTGCCTGAACTCAGAGGGAGGACCTTGACTACTGCGAGGTGTGGAGGCAGTGCAGACGCTACTGTTGTTTGTGACTCCACGCTGTCAGCCTTGGTGAGCTGCCATACTCCCGGAACAGCAAGCTCTGGATAAATAGGTCAGATCCATGGAAATGCCATGGAGGCCAAGAGGGAAGCAGGAAGTCCGGGAGGCACCCTTCAGAAGGAGTCACTGCAGAAGTATGCCTCTGTGTGAAGAAACAGCCCTAATCGGGAGTGAGTGTGCCGTCCTGAGATGAGAAGAGCAGAAGTCAGAGGAGAGAGGAGCGCTTACTCACATGGGCTCCGAGAAGCTGATCACAGCGGCAGCACATTGCCTAACGTCTACACTTCCACGTAGAGGGACTCTAAACCAGGGCCGCTACTCCATCATGCACCGCTCGTACTCTCGATATTCAGCGGGAGTGCTCCGACCATTTCCAGTTCTAATTTGCTGGCAATCAACTTTCCTTACTCTGTGAGTTGGCATTGAGGGTCTTCAATTCCCATCAGGGTCAGTAACTGGGGGAACTCCCTGTGAGGGCAAGGGGTTGCCAGGTCCTCAGTAGGTCCTTACAGAATGCATAGTTCAATCACATGACAAATTCATCTCTGATTTGCCATTCAACTTCTTGTGAATATTGGAATAGGTTGCCCTGTGGTTTTAAGATTGTCAGTGAAAGGAACTGTAGAATGAAGCAGTTTGCTGGCATCAGAGAAGACATGGAAGCAAAATTCTTACACCTGTTGGAGCCAGGGTAAGGCCTCCGTGGGGCACATAGTTTACATCTAGAGAGGGGTATGATTTGTAAAGCACTTTCTCATTTACAATCATTTTTTTAGATTTTTTAAATTAAAATATGCACGTGTGTGTGTGTGTGTGGAGGTTGTGCACACAACTGCAGTACTAAGAAGGCTGGAAGGGAGCATCGAGCTCCCTGGTGCTGAAATCCCAGTTGTAAGCCTTCCCATGCTACTGCAGGCCACCAAACTAGAGTCCTCTAGAAGAACAACAATTGCACTTAACCACTGGGCCACCTCTCTAGCCCCCTGTTCACAATCTGATTATACTCACCGCTGTCCCTTTAAATAGGCAAAACTGGTCTTTACCTCACTAGCATATTAAGAGGAGTTAGCCAGCAGAGGATGATACCAGGGCAGTCTTGTTAACAGAAAGGTATTTGATGATGTCATTAGAAACTTATTCTTTTGTCCCTCATAAAACTGTCCTTCCTGTAACTCAGAACTCTCACCTACCTCCCACGGAAGTAGGACAAAACGGACAAAGGCATCCTACCTCTAATTGGTGTGCTTTTTAGAAATCCCACATTTGTTTTAGAATTATTTAGAGGCTGCGGAAGAGAACCATGGGGATAGAAGTCAACTAGTTTTGATGTTGACTTTCCCTGCTCAAAATAGAGGAAATGTTATTCTCGTGTACGTTGCTTGCTAACGTAACTGTTGTTTGGGCTTGAAGCTGTGTAAGCATGCTGGAGCTTGCCACGGTTAGCACCACACGACTGTGATAACATGCAAAGCAAACTTCCAAGAGCGTAGGAGAACTTTTCTCTCTGAGGATTATGTTGCCCTTCTTCCTGAGCCGCACTCTAGATGCAGCTTGTCACATCTGTTCACATGCCCACTAACTGGAAACTAGTTCCCAGTTGTCACAGAGAAGGAAACAGCTAAGAGAACCTCGGAGGGAGATCACTCGGTAGAGACAGGTCTTTAAAATCATAAGATTTTCCCCATTGCGTAAAACCTTTGGCTTGGCCTACAGTAAATACCAATGCTTACATTTTCTAATTATTTCATTGTGGCTCAAGTCAAAGATTTTTTTTATTGTCCTATCATTTCAACTTTCATAAATTAGTCTGCTAACATTGTCTTTATGGAGAAAATTTCCACTATCTTCCCTAAAATCAACATTAAAACTTTACTTACACGTAAGAAAACCTGCAGTTGGGTCCTCTTTGGCTATTCCCACCTGAAGGGCCATCATCTCCAAATAGAAAACAGAATTCCTATCCCCATGGGATGAAATCTCTAGCAAGTCTCCAGGACTCTTTTCACTAAACCGTTATTCATTTAACTACCATTTTATCTGCGTTTTCCTTAAGCTCCTCAGTAAGGCATCATGGGAATGGTTCCCTGGCTTTTAAGTTACCGAAATGTGTTGTCTGGGCTAGGAAAATCTTGAAATGACCAGCTGGAAAAGTCTGATGGCTATCATTTTACAAATAAATCCTTTCTGCTCTGATGCCTCCCTCGTGAGACACAAAGAAATGAGAACTCTGAAAACCCATGTGCGTCGTCTGAGAATTTGGTCACATGGTCACTCATTGTTTTGGCAACAAAAATAGAAATATAATGCCATCCTGCACATGCACATCAGTGCTGTCAGTCCAGAGAGTGCCCATGTGTATTTTTTCATCTCCCAGTACCCTCAGACGATGAGTACCAGAACCTCTCTGGATGCAGTTGCCGTATTAAAAGTGGTATTTATGTGTAAATCTCCTCCTGTCTCTACGTTGTCATCCCAAGATTACTTAGTTCTTATAACACCTACTGCAGTGTAAATGCTATAGAAAACACTGTTATTTTATTTAAAAAACAATGATGAGAAAAATGTACAGGCTGCATACAGTTACAATTTTATTTCTCCCACCTTTGAATATGTGGTTTATATATACATATGGGAGAAAGTAGACAATAAACGCAGAAGGAATCAATTGAAGGAAGAAAAGAGGAGGAACAGAGGGAGAAAAGAAGCTTGAGAAGTATGACAGGGCGCAGCCGTGAGTTAGGACTGGCTCTTCTGACAGTTACTTGTGGAATTGCCAGGTCCATACTAAAAAGGAGAGCAAGGTGTCCAGTGCTGGGCATGGGCAGCCTGCTCTGCAAATGCTATGTGGGTTTGAGAGAAATCAAAAGTGAGTTCCTGGACCAAAGAGCCAGTAGGAAAATGGGAAGAAGTGCAAAGCCCGTGGGCCCAGAGAGGAACTTCTGCTCCTTGGAACTACACCAGGAAACATTCCGATGGCTTGGACCCAGGCTTTGTGTGATGTGATCTCCGCTTTAAAGTGGAATATACTGTAGGAAACAGGGCAAGGACAGAAGCAGAGACAGCTTCAGAAGTGATGGGGACATTTCCAAGAACTCCGAAACTTTGGCTACCGAGAAGAACAGTGAGCTAAAGCAAGGGTGAGTTTCTGTGGGCACTTCTGAAAGTATGCAAGTGAACTTGGAGAACTCTGGAGAAGCTTGTCATATGCTGTGTGTTAATCAGTGCAGTGGGTAAGGAAAGCTGTATATGCAATGTTAGCATAGACCTGCTAGAGCCTATTCCATAATCCCAGGACCAATTCCGTAATTTCAGTTAAGTGAAAGTTTCCTTAAGAGAAAGAATAAACAAGCCTCAAATCAGCCCTCTGTGTCTTAAGAAAATGCACAAATAACTTCTCTTAATGTGCTTGCCCGGAATCTGTCACAGAAGCAAAGATTAAGCCCCGAAATGCTGGGCTGGGGAGTGAACTCAACTTGAAGGGCAGCATTTCATGATTCCCACTCCTATGATAGGGCTCCAACGTAGGCAAGACCACACCTCAGTGAAAATCCTAGGAGTCCGATTGGGCCTCGTGTGAGCCAAGCCCGCCTGGGAAGGAAGGTTCAAAAAGACAGCGACATTTTCTATCATGGTGGAAGTTTAGATCATCTCAGTGCCTGCAGGCTTCCTCAAAAACATCTGTAAACCCAGCAAACTGTGCCAAGTATACAGCTGTGAGTCAAGGAGCCATCTGCTGATGCTTCCTCCTTTTTTACAGTATGGCCATGGACCAGATGGATCTGAATAGAAATGGGTTAGAGTACGGTGAAGATTATTAGTATTTGTGAGGATGCTAATATTGGCAATTCCTTCGGCTTTTGCATACATTTATAAACGATTTTACTAAAGTTTGAGGGCCAGAAGCGATGTGCTTTGAAGACCTGAGTCGCACAACTTTTGTTCTGTCCTGGGTTTGCAGGAGGGAAGTCAAATTCTTACATTCTTTCTGGAGCTGGAAGCACTCCTGATTGTCTAGTTTTCCCTTCGACTGTCTTTACAGGAGGGAGATAGGGACCCCAATCTGTCACCTTCACAGTTCCTATGTGAGAGCCATTGTTTCCGCTGAATTCATTGGAGAAAATGGATGGGGGTTAGAGAGATTCCCATAGAGCTAAAGAGGATGAGACGATTGCTTCATAGTGTCTGTAAATACCTTGGGTTGATTCTGTGGTGTCTGAACATGTGCCGGTTGCTTACTGTGGCTCCACCGTGCAAGGCCAGACAGATGATGCTTTTAGAACAACCCAAAGGGAGGGAACAAAGAAGCCTATAAAACATGAATGCATAATGTAAACATACCTGAAGAAAGTACCACCATGTTGACATTGGCCTTATTTTGTGCTCTGTCCCCTGGTTACTGTGACTGTCAAGGGAGCAACTTAGCCAACACCGAAGGATCTGGCCAGTTCTAAATGTAATGTCTAAACCCAGAGGCCATATTTCTTCACTCTTAGGATAATTTTGGTTCAAAGTATATCCTTTAACAAGCTCCCTGCTTCAAAAGCTCCAAGTCTCTTTGTTTTGTTATGCTTGCCTAAACATGTCTTCCCAAAAGCCAAGTTGTAAATACCGTTTTATTACTGTCCTCTCCTTTGCTTCTAAATGTAGACTTTTGAGTACATTTCTGTGACCTAACCTTGGCCCCTAATTTCACATGTTTTCTTGGGTTAAGTCTATGTCTTGACACACTGTGTATTGGCAGGAGATACAAGGCAAACATATGGATACCTATGTTGGTTTGATTAACACATGTGTAAAAGACAGAAGGACATGTTGGTTTTTACTAACCTACTGCTTTACAGCACTGTCTTTTCATCTAAAAATCTCTGGGTGTTTTATAATCAGAACTTTGATTTGTCCTTGGATGATTCTGAGGAGTATTTTTAATTTCTAACTGTTGACTTTTAAAATTCCATTGTTTTCATTGATTTTACATACACAGAATTGTGGTTAGAAAACAGTGCCTATTGAGTGTTGTGGTTTTGGAGACTCCTTGTATACACAACAAGGCAGTGCCCTTATTTTCTGCGAAGTAAAAGGTTCATTGCATTGTTATTAACTCAACCTGCAATTGTGTCATACACGTGGATTTGATGGATATCTTTCTCTACAGGCACACTTAAGTCTATCCTGTTTTAGAGACTGCTATGGTTAATCTTGGTTGTCAACATGACAAGATTTAGCATCTCCATAGAAACAGACATCTGGGCACATCTCTGAACAGTTTTCTAGGTTGGGTTCTACCCTAAAGGTGGGTAGCACCACTCCATGCTTGGGGTCTTCAAACTAAGGAAAAGGAGAAAGGAAGTTGAATGCTATTCACCTCTCTCTGCTTCCTGACTGCGGATGCAATGTGACCAGCTGTCCCACACTTGGGACGCCATTCTTTTTCTGTTATAGTTAACTATCTCCCCTGGAACTGGAAGCTGAACTAGCCCCCTCCTTCCTTGTTTCTTTTGCCACAGAAACAAGATAAGAAACAAACACAAAACCTCGATAGAATGTGTGTCTCCCCCCACCTAGCCTTCAACTTTTAATGCCTTGTTTGCTCTGTATCCTTAATACCATATGATCACATCCATCACAGGGATGAGTTCTGTCTTACTGCAGATTACAGCTGTGTAAACTTAAGCATCTCTGACTACATCAGCGTTGCGGTGGCTTTGATCAAAGATGATTGTTAGTCACTGTGGTTTGGAAAGCTGATGAATATTGTTCTGTTGTGGTTTGCTACCTTACTCAGCATCTTCTAAGAGACCTCTTTCCCTTTTGTTCTAGTTTGTCAAGGCACAAGTAACAGACTCACCCAACTTGGCACTTTCGAAGACCACTTTCTGAGCCTGCAGAGGATGTTCAACAACTGTGAAGTGGTCCTTGGGAACTTGGAAATAACCTACGTGCAAAAGAACTATGACCTTTCCTTCTTAAAGGTGAGTGCATTGCATTTGGGTTGTCCTACACAAACACTATAGAATGAAACACGAGCAGAGAGAAACTTCAGCAGAATTTGACTTGAGGCATGGCTCCTCCATCTTAGGGAAGCCACAAGTCCCAGGGACTACAGGAGAGTGTTATAAGAAGTCCTCTCATAACATTTGACCTGCTAAGGTCAAATTTATTGTGGAAAACAAAATAGGACAGAACCCCTTCTGATGTTCCACAGTCCTCAGAGGTGCTAACATTGACAGCTGGACACTGCCTCCACCAGATCACATTGTTGACATGCTAGCTTTCCAAATAATAACAATCATAACCTTAAAAAGCACTGCTTTGCAGGGAGGTGGTGGCGCACGCCTTTAATCCCAACACTCGGGAGGCAGAGGCAGGCGGATCTCTGTGAGTTCGAGACCAGCCTGGTCTACAAGTGCTAGTTCCAGGACAGGCTCCAAAACCACAGAGAAACCCTGTCTCGAAAAACAAAACAAAAGAAAAGCACTGCTTTGTGCTGTGTATCTGTACACTTGGCATAAATGTTTACACCATGGCTAATCTCAAACTACCAGAAATTCATAACTGGTTCACAAATTCCTAAATAATCCTACTGAGCCTTTAGGAGCAAATTCTGAAGGCTTCAAAACCACCTTTGCTGATACTCAGACTTCAGTTGGGTTCACGTTGACTTCATTTCTTTATTTCATATCTCCCTCCCTTCTTCCTTCCACAAGACATCATGAGAGATTCATTCAAAATGACTGTCTTCATTTGAGTTAAAGTGAGACTCCCAACACGTCAAATGCAAACTTTAATGCAAGCTTCTTGAATACAAATGCAGACATGAAAGAATCATTGTAAACCCTGCCACACCCTTCACCCAAGTGTAATTGTCTACGTGTCTTAGATTTATCTGCCACATGAATGTGTCATTGTGAAGTTAAACACGGTGCCTGCGTCTACTTTAATGGGCTTTTTCTCTCTCAGACCATCCAGGAGGTGGCTGGCTATGTGCTCATTGCTCTCAACACTGTGGAGAAGATCCCTCTGGAGAATCTGCAGATCATCAGGGGGAACACTCTATATGAGAACACCTATGCCTTAGCAGTCCTGTCCAACTATGGGGAAAACAAAACTGGGCTTAGAGAACTGCCCATGCGGAACTTACAGGGTAAGAGGTGGGACAACAAGGCAGAAAGGCAAATTTGTCACTTCCGTTGATCCTAACTCAGAGAAGACATGTTTATCAAATACATGTACTGTGTGCTGTTTGCAAAATTCAGTGAGTAGCAGTTGTGTAGATGACAGGCAATAGGATGGAAAGAGATTTCAGCCAGGTAGAAATCAGTTCTTCCATGGATGAGGAATAATATCCAGAGATAGAAATCAATGACTGAGTTCTCTGGATCCAGCCAACCTTGGTGAGTGAGAGTTTGGGTTAGTAGGAAGTAAGCTTGGGCCAGAGGCAGAAAGGACAAGCAGCCACTACCTCATCTTGCAGGGACTTATTCCTAGGCAAAACTGGACGTCTGAAACATAAGGTACTCCAAACCATACATGCCATGTTTTTTCTCTATCTGCATGCCTTTCAGAATTCAGCTCATTGGTTAGGTATAGCAAAACATTGACAACAGCAATGAAAAATAGCAAAGCAATTAGTGTGCTACAGCAACAGCTTGTGAGTTTGCTCAGTTGATGTTCCTCTCAGAGTGGAGCAAAAACAGTTGAACCTGGAGATAGCAAAACCACTCCTGGGACAGAGTCTAATGAACTAAAAATCCTGCCAGGGTTGAGAAGCAGGTTTCAAGGTTTATATTGTTTCATGGAAACTCAGGGTAAGTTGGGAAGAGAAGGGAAGGTTTTGAATCTGAAGAGGAAACTGGAAAAGATGGACGAGAGGTTGAGAAACAACAATTCTTCCTCCATGTCATGGACTGTTTCTCAAGTCAGTAAGTCCACTTGATGCCACGGCCTTTTTTAAAAGCAGGTGTTGTACAGTGTCATTTTCCAAATAAAGGCATGGCAATGAGATCACTCGCCCACAGACCTGTACCCCCTGGCTAATTCTGTCATCTCTGTGTGCCCTGCAGCTCTGATGGGGAAGTATGGGTTGGGAAGGGGATGGGGTGGAAAGAAAGGGAACAGAGAGTGGGAACCTACCAGTGTGTGGAGCTAGGATGTGGCCACACAGCCAGCCAGACACTTCCTTCCCCAGCTCTCTGGTTCACCAGCCTATAAACCGCCTTCAGAACTGACACCCACCACTTTAACTGCTCCAAGCACCCACGCATGCTTCTGAATTTGTGCTAGCGTTCATCTCTCCCATACACACAGTGCATGAAATGGCCTGTTTGGTACTTGAGGCATGCCTTGTTCTGCCTGTCTTGCCTCAGACATGTGAGGAAGTCTGCGGGTATGAGTCTAGCTCCTGGAGCCAGGCTGTCTGTGTTCCAGCCCCGGCTCCGTCACTCATCAGCTAAACATCTCTGTAACTACCCCTTCACCTGTGTGTCTCTCTCTCTGCATCTCAGTGCCCTCACGTCAGAGCTGTAGTACACACACTTGCCAAAGCGCTCCCTCTGTGTTGACAAATTCAACTCTCTTACCACAGTCAAAGCATGCAACGGTGACTTGAGTTCCTAGTTTGTGGTTGTTACTGTTGTTGTTGCTGTTCTGTGTATGTGTGCATGTGTGTGCATGCCCTTACCCAGGAATACCCATATTTTTTATAATTAATGCAAGGTAATTGTACAGATCCCAGTTATTTAATATAGGACGACTGCCACAACTGAGAATTTCCTGAATTTTGAAATAAAAATAGACTTGACTTTCTACTCATTACCTTCTAACGCTATTCACTTAGAAGGGGGAAGCTAATTGAATCCTGCCCCCTCTCACGTAATTATTGTTGTTACCTATTATTGGTTCCTTCCCTTCTGTGCTTCCTTGTCTCTTCTCTTGGTGGCCACTGTAACCTGGGTGTTAGTGCCTATCTTACGTTGCTAAGTTTGACCTCGTACCTCTAGTTCCCTTTTCTCTATCATACTCTTGTGGCCTCTATTTTCCACGCAGAGTTCCCCAACTTGGCTCTTTCTGGCCTGCCTGCCTTCCTTCTGAAGTTCTTTTATCCCCAGTCATCTGTTGCGAGAGCTGCCACCTGCCCCGGATCTGCAGTTCTGCTTTGTGTCTCTGTCTGCTGGAAGCCGTCAGCACTTCCAGCTTCTCTTTCCTCTAAACTATGCTCTTGAACACATGCAAATCTCTTCTCCTTGCCACCCAGCAGTCTCTGCAAGCTTCACCAGAGAGCCCCTCCTTTTCCATGTCAGCGCTCCCTGCAGGCAGGAGCTTCCCATTCCTGCCTGTGTGGTGGTGAGGTCACTTTGGTATCTATATCTGGGTTTCCCATGCTTATACTTTTTTTTTACTTTTAATTATAGGCATAGGAGTGGGGGTGCGGTGTGCATATAGGTATAGGTGCTCATGGAGGCCAGAAACATTGAATCCCCTGGTGCTAGAGTTACAAGCACTCTGGGTGCTAGGAACCAAACCCAGGTCCCCTAGAGGGGCAGTGTATGCTGTCTCTCTAGACTTTTTTCCATATTTGAATGATAGTCTTTAGATCTTTATCAGTGTAGCCAGAAGCTGCTCACTTGTTCTCAGCTGCCTAGACCCAAAATAATCATACAGAAACTATATTCTATGCAATACTGTTTGGCCAATAGCTTAAGTGTATTTCTAGCTAGCTCTTATATCCTAAATTAACCCATTTCTGTCAATCTGTGTATCACCACATGGCTGTGGCTTACTGCCAAGGTTCTGGTGCGTCTGTCTCCTGCGGGCAACTACATGGCTTTTCCCTTTGACTCTGCCTTCTTTCTCCTTATATCTCTTGCAGCCTGGATTTACTTTGTTAAGCCATTGACCGAAAGCAGCTTCTTTATTAACCAATGACAATAAAACATATTCACAGCATATTTTACCTCCCACATCACCTCCTCTCTTATATCTAAATAAAAAGGACGCTGCTTACAATGGATATATTATATCGTTTTGGAGTCTTTGATAGAGTTAAAGAACAGACAGTTACAGTTTTCCTTAGTTGTAATAAAAATAAAGTAGATATAAATGTTGTAGCTGTAATTCTTGCTTGATACCTGCTTTGTTGTATGTAATTTTACTATGTTAAAGTTAAAACCATCCTTTTTATTTAAACAGAAAAGAGGAAATGGTGTGGGAAGTTCTTCCGTATATGTGTTGTTTTTTTGGTTAATAAAGAAGCTGCTTTTAGCCAATGGCTTAAGAGAATATAGCCAGGCAGGAAGAGACATATAGAGAGAGTAGGTTGAATCAGGGAGAAGCCATGTAGCCACCACAGGAGACAAATGCCTCTGCTGGAGCATGCCAAAACTTTATCAGTAGGCTATGACCTTGTGGTGATGCACAGATTAATGGAGATGCATTAGTTTAGGATATAAGAGCTAGCTACAAATATACTTAAGCTATTGGCCAAACAGTATTGTGAAAAAAAAATAGCTTCTAAGTGATTATTTTGGGTCTAAGCAGCCAGAAAACAAACAAGTGGCCTTCCTCCAACAGATGAGGATCACTGGAGATGACACATACACATAAATTAGCCAAATTCTCAGTCCTGTCTCCTTTGGACATGGCTGAGACATTTCTGTCTCTCTGTGCATTTCATTTCTCTGGAAGAAGCCTGCAAGTCAAATTTACCTTTGCAGACCAGAGCATCTGTGGATTTTTTATTTATAAATCTTTCCGTCCATGGTCATGTCTAATGTTGCTAAGGTAGCCCTCTTTTTTTTTTTTTTTGTAAAAGTTTGACTTTTGATCAACCCTGACTTTGTAAAAGTCCTCTCATTTCTTCTTTCAAAAAACTCTGCAGCCTTATATGACCTTGCACCACTGGCGTTTATTTGAGTCATCTTCATACATAAAATTCTTATTTCATATCACACTCACACTCTTTCCTTCATCAGTGGAAATCCTCTAGTGACACCTAAGAGTATGCCTGGTGACAGTCACCTGGTGACAGTCGTGGTCTTCAGAGTCCAAATACCTAGGATTTCCCCCTTGTCCTTCATCTCTGATTTCACCTCCACATCATCCAATCATTCTAGTCTGTCTGATCTGACCCCAGATCTACAAGTCACTGCACACATGGCCTTTCTGCCATGCATACTGAGTAGGCTTTCTCTTCCTGCTACTGCATCTCTAAAATCCACAACCCTATCTTTAAAAACTCATAAGTTTTCCCTTCATTATCATAAAGTGTATCTTCATATATCTCTAGCAGGTCTTCTATGGGGCCGACCTTGGGGCTTTGGATTTGCCCACGGGAAGCATTAAGCAGAATATTAGAAATATAAAGAAATGAGTGCATGCATTTTGTGAGTTAATAGAAATCAAAGAGTTTGGTTACTGTGGTTCCATTTATTCAGAAATCCTGACTGGCGCTGTGCGATTCAGCAACAACCCCGTCCTCTGCTACGTGGATACCATCCAGTGGAGGGATATCGTGCAGGATGTCTTTCTGAGCAACATGTCAATGGAATCACAAAACCAGCCGAGAAGCTGTAAGTGCCTCATTCACCTTCCATTAGCTTCAGATCCTCTGAGGAGTTGAAGAGGGCAGTGTTGGGGTGGGAAAGAGGATGTTAACTTTAGATCAGATTAATCAACATGCAACAAAAAAAGAAGTAAACAAATGATCTTTCCATTAGAGTTTTATTCAAGACAGTAATGTAAGAAAAATTTTTTCATTGTACAAGGCAACACCCATCTCTTCAAGGGTAGTGGAGCATTTGTGAGATCACTGAGCAGAGAGAACCTTTCTCCCAGATACAGGTTGCAGGGGTAACTCGCGGTACAGGGCATCTCCCCTTCTGACTCATGGGCATGGCCCAGTCATGTGTACTTCTGTCTTGTTCCCGATTCTCGCAGTGGCGTTCAGGTCAACCTGAACCTGTGGGCTCTGCTCATCAGCTCATCAGTGTAAACACTCTGACACAGAACCACGGAGAGGAGATTTGTCCGTGCTTTCCTGAATGTTCTCAGCTCACCCATGCCTCACTCCTCCAGCAGCCCCCTGCAACTGAGGGCCTTGCAGAGGGCCAGAACTAAGCATGGGGACTCAACCTGTGACCCTCTCTAGCACTGTACAGGAAACTTTGATATAGGGTGTTTTCACATTCCAGTCTCCACCAAGCCTGTTCTTCCTAATAGTACTGATCTTTTCATGGCACGAGATAAGGCACGGCCCTACTTCTTACTCTCCTGTTCCTGCAACTGAGCTTCACACGAGTTTGGTTTAGACCTCCAGTGGAGCCTACATGAATCATAAAAATCATCAACTGAAAGTCTTGTAGCTTTTTTTTTCTCAGTTGCTCTATTTTTTATTGATGGCTTGATTAAAAGAGTTGGGGTGAAAAACAGGAAATCTGTGATATGATTATGTGTCCAAAATTTTCTGCATCCACGAGCGCCATCCAAGGTCACCTTGTGGCACCATAAGTGAAAGAGAAAAGAGAGAAGGGGTCAGGATCCTGTTGTCCCTTCAAAGACACTGCCTTTGATGACTGGGCTTCCAGTACTTCCACCTCTGTTTTAATATAATGCTTTGAAGTTATGATTTGACGATGACATACATGTATACAATGAATTGTGATCCTCCCAACTCCTCTGCTCCCATGCCTTCCTCCCACTTTCATATCTTTTTAATAACCTACTGACTACAATTAGTACCGCATGTATGTGCACGGGTGTGGGGCATCCACTGGAGCATGATTCACGGACCAGGGGCCACACCCTTGAAAAATGGCTCTCCCTCCACCAGCAGCCAGGAGTAGGTTCTTGTGGTCCCTTTCCCCACCCATGCTGGAATGTTGATTGGCTTGGTCTTCTTCAGGCCTTGGGCAGGCAGCCACAGTTGCTGTGAGGTCGCAAATACAACAGACCTGTTGTGTCCAGAAGATGCTGTTCCATAGTAGTCCCTCCTGAACCTCATAGAATCTTTCTACCCTCTTTTTTGTGATGTGCCTAGAGCTGTAGGAGTGAGGGCTGTGATCCAGATGTCCTGTGTAGGGTTGAGCACTACACAGACACTAAGTCTTTGTGGTGATAATCATTTACTACACAAAGAAGTCTCTCTGATGAGGACTGGGCACTAATCTATGGCAGAGAACTAAGTATTTTGAAGGCAGTGTGATGCTATGTTCGTTTAGCAGAATAATAGTAGCAAATTCTTCCCCAGGGCTTAGGAGCTTCCCAGCCATGAGTTTTAGGTTAGATTTATAGCAGCAGGCATGTGTTTCCTCCTGTGGGGTGGATCTTAAGTCCAACTGGAGAATGGTTAGTTTACCCCCTCATAACATTCAGACCACTATTGTACCCATGGGCACATCTTGCCAGGGTGGTCATTAGTTTAATCTCTTAAAGTTGCCATCACCACTCTGATCTAAAGCCTTTAACATACGGGCCTTTGGGGGTCATTACGTACCCAAAGTGTAGCACTAGTCATGAGAATAAGCTTAAGTGAATCAAAACTGCATAAACAAGAGACATTTCAGTAACAATGCCTTCAATAAATCGTTCTGTAATGACAATGATTAAGGGACAAACGGTATACTGGAGTTTTTAAAAATCAACTAAGGACGTTAAAATTATACCTATTAAAAGAGAAGAGATCTGTCTCTTGTGTCTCCTTCCTTCCACTCTCTTCCATTGACCAGTGCTTCTCAGACTCACAATCCTTTGGAGAAGTCTGTATTTCATCTGTAACAAGAACAAAATCAGTATTACGAGGTGATTTTAACTGTTACGTAGGTGAGGCGTCTGGATTCAGAAGAGCTGCCCACTGTGACCAGCATATATTATTGTTGATAAGATTTAGAACTTGAGGTTGCAAGAGTGGAATTACATGAAAGAAAACAAATACATTCATCAGCTACTCCATACCTCAATATAAATTTCAAATATGTACTAAGTATATGTAATAAATATGAATATATATTTAAATCCTAGAAGGGAACATGAGGGTGAATATTTACAATGACAAGTTGAGAAACCAAACTCCAACACCATCAAATAAGCTTCCCTGTGAAATAAAAGTTATATTATATGATAACTGCTTGTCCCCAAAGAGGGAATTAGAACTAAATAGAGTGGTTTTTAAAAGCCCAGTAGAAACATTAAGTACCCAGAATCACAGAAGTAAAAGCAAAAAAAACTAAATCCAATCCACACCGCAGGACTTTCCAACAAACGTGCCGCCTCACGCTTTGATCTTTGCATTTCTCGGCGGATTAATTGCAGAATGGAATTCAAGAGATTAGAAACCTTTGTAGCTGCAATTTGATATTGACCAAATACAAAAATACAAAAAATGGTTGAGTTACAAAGATTTCCAGACAATAACAGGCTGGCTATTAGCTAAAGTTTTAGGTAATTGGCCAAATGATTCACAGAATAAGAATGTTCCCTTCCTGTGGAATGTTCTACACGACTCCGTGGCTTGGAGGAGAAGGGTGCTGATTTGCCAGCCCTGATTTGCATCCCTAAACCCAGAGGTGATTGCCCACCACTCAGTCGAGATTGAGATTGGATATAGCAAGGGGAGGGCGTAGACACGAAGATTGGCACCTCCTGGAACCTGGGTTCGTGTAGATTTGTCATCTTGGTGGTTGTGACAAGTCAGAAGTATTCTCTCAGTTTCCACACCTCAAGTGCCAACAAAACCAGTCCATGGATTTTCCTTTCTTGAACGAGTCTTTTAGCTGAACAGAAAAATCATCCAAGCCAAATACGAGTGCAAAGTTTCCAAACTGCTCCTTGTTTCTAGAACATCCTCTGGGACCTTGGGGGAGGCATCATTGCTTCCATGTCATTTGTTCACTTTTATCAAAATGCACATTTAACTACTAGATTTTTATTTCAGGCCAAAAATGCGATCCGGGCTGTCCAAATGGAAGTTGCTGGGGAGGAGGAGAAGAGAACTGCCAGAAATGTAAGTCAGCACAGGGTCAGGGTCTGAGAAACACGCCGCTGTGGGCAGAGTCCACACAGTGTGTGGCCATCCTCTCCTGCTCTTTGGTAACTGGACAAGCACAGAAGCTTGGCAAATAATGCATTGTTAACTGTTTCATGAATGGCAGTCTTACCAACCTCACTGCACACAGCTATCTAAGGCTAACCATTTGGGATACTTCAGCCTGTCATAAAATGCCTAGAAGTCAGCTACCCAAGTGCCCGAGTCATGCAGGATGCCCTGCTCTCTGCTCCCACTTCCCCCTTTCCTAGCACAAACATATATCAAAGTTTGCCAGTGTTTCTCCAGTGATCTCTCTTTTTTTCAGTGACCAAAATCATCTGTGCCCAGCAATGTTCCCGGCGTTGTCGTGGCAGGTCCCCCAGTGACTGCTGCCACAACCAGTGTGCCGCTGGGTGTACGGGGCCCAGAGAGAGTGACTGTCTGGTAAGACTCTAGGTGTTGGGGAGCTGGGCTGGGGAGCTTTGTGCTTGTTCCCCACTGAATGTGACAGGAGCCTTCTTGTAGGGTACATTGTCAATACATGTTGTCCTGGCCACCAACAGCGACATTGTAACAAATAGAGAAAGCTGTTTCTTTAAGAGCCCCTGACATGTGCCCCACAGACCTTTGGGCAATATAGCCTTGGAATCATCTGCTTTTCCCACCATATTCTGATGCTTCTTGGGCTGCTCCCCTAGTCCACACCATCACACGGTGTCTTTTTTTTTTCCCCCTGCCACAACCAAAGCTCTGGCAAAAGCTCTAGTGTGAAGTTTGGCAGGTGCCAGGGCTGGTGAATGTGATTTCTGGGGTTGGTATTAAATCAAGCAAGGCTCTGTCCAGCTCCGGAAGAGGAAGTCCACCCTAAGCTACAGTCAGGACTATTCTACGGCTTCTGGAAATGGAAGATTCTTAAAGCCCAGAAACCAGAGCTGGGCCTGGGGAATTTTTTTTCACTTGGGCAGTCTGGGCTGGATCTAATGAGAAGCCCAGGGGGGAAGACTCCACATGGGGTTCTTAGTAAAAGCCCAAACTTTGAGTCTGGCCCTTTCCTCATGAAACCTTTCTGCTAAGATTCCTGCACTTTGACAAGTTCCAAAATGTTTTCTAAAGTGCTCTTTGTAAGAGAAACTCAATGTAAACTGGATTTAAAAAAATGATGCCACATCATTCTTGCCGTGTCATGTTTCTTTATTTTTCATCACCTGTAATCAATAGAGGTATATTTTTTCCAACCACAAACCCTAAGTTGTAGCTACTGGGACAGTCAGTATACTTAAAATTAATACTTATTACTTATAAGCAAAGGGTGTTTCTGACTACCATGGAAAGGCTTACTAGATTCTCCCCTCTCTAACTGAACACCTAAGCACTGAGAGCTGCCACTGGCCTGCCTGACTTCAGGATACCTGGCCTTGGGCTTCTTTCATTTGGATGGCCATGACCAGCCATGTTGTCCCTCCTGTGACAGGTCTGCCACAGGTTCCGAGACGAAGCCACATGCAAAGACACCTGCCCACCGCTGATGCTGTACAACCCCACCACCTACCAAATGGATGTCAACCCGGAAGGGAAGTACAGCTTTGGAGCCACCTGTGTGAAGAAATGCCCCCGTGAGTTGCTCACCTTTGATTCACCCATCCTCCGTGTCCTCTTTTGACTTATGCTGGACTCTTAGGCAGTTTGGGGCCTGCTGTGCCTGCCTTGTTTTGTAGGTTAGAATATGCCCAGCTAGATACAAAGGGGAGCAGCCAGCTCGGTGCTGAGGGGCAGAGGCAGAGGCAACCTGTGGCAGGCAGGGCTCCTCTCCTCCAAGGGTGGCTTCACCTGTGCTGGTCCTCATGTTGTTGGCGAACAGACTTTGTTAACAAAAGGCACCTGTTGTTTTACGCCAAGTCTGAGGGCCAGCTATATAACATGGGGGTGTCCTGGAACTGACAACCACAAAATCACCACCCTCAGGCACCATCATTGTTTGACTCTCTACTATGCTGGCATTTAACAGACCTAAATTAGAAAATGCAGCAGATCCGCCTTCTTGAGTAGAAAAGGCTACGGCTAAGGTTGGGATCTTGGAGGATTGCAGTTTCAGTTTTGCTTTGATTTCCTCATTTGGGTTCAGGCTTTGTTTACGTATGATTGTACTCTGCTGGAACCTATAGGGAAATGGCAAAACAGATCACTCCCAAACAGAGAAGTGAAGCAATCTATAAAGAACCTCAAGAGTCAATCTTGACTTCTAGAAAGGAGATTGAGAGCCCCCCAAAAAAATGTAAAAGAGAAACTAAGAGGGTAAGAATTTGGCCTACCTAGATTTAGGTGATGTAAGTCTATTTAGAAAAAAGAGAGAGAGAGAGAGAGAGAGAGAGAGAGAGAGAGAGAGAGAGAGAGAGAGAGAG